AAAGAATTTTAAAGAGTGATATAGACATTAAAAGAGGAGGGAACCTAAAAGATCCCTTTCTCTAACTCTCACTTTACAGATGAGGAAATTGAGGCCTATGAGAATATCATTTGACCAGAGTCATGCAGCTGGCCGGCAGGAGATCCAGGGCCAGAACGTGGGTTCTCAGCCAGTGTTCTCTCCAGGTTGTGTCTAATTCCCCATCTCCTGCAGAGCAGGATCCGAGTAGGACGTGACCAAGGTCCCAGGGCTGTCGGGAGGCAGGGCTGACAGTGGAATCCGGGTCTATGGCATGTAGTGAAATGTGCTGATACATCTCAGCATCCTCCCCAACCCCACAGACCGTGTAATCTTCATTCAGACCTCTTCCTTTTGGTGTGTTTGTTTTTCCTTCAGTAAAAGAAACTTCCCTTATGGAAGAATTCAAAGTATTTAGAATTTAGCCATACTTAGTGACTTATAAGGGAGTGTTTTACTCTGTGTGAAACTATCTAAGAAAGTGAAGGTATCTTCTGATTGCCTCAAAAGGTGAAGGAGAGAGACTGAGGACTTAGGAAGGCAGCGGGCTTCAGAGCGTCCATGTGGCAGGAGAGGAAGGGACAGATGTGACCTGGTTCACTTGCATGGAAAAGCATCTGAGGCTTCAAATGTTGAAGGCTTTTCTCATATCTTGCCTTATGTGTGGGAAAAACACACAGTCTCTCCTCTGCTCTCAGCACAACAAGCAACAGAGAAGACCAGCTTCTGTGACCAAATGTGTGGGGATTTCTCCCCACCAGCAAGTGAGCAATCAGTTCCACAGTGGACACCAGCTGGGTTTCCTCTAATTCCATTCTGACACTCTCTACCTGCGGATAGTGTCAGATCCCACATTGGGGCTCAGTCCCCAAGACCACCCCCGACTTCAGATGCCAGTTGCAAGCCCAGGCCTTTGGAACATCTGACCAACCAGCTATAAACCGGGGTTTCCACAACCCCCTCCTTGGGTTCTATTAGTTTGCTAGCATAGCTCACAGAACTCAAGAGAAACATGTTTACCAGTTCATTATAAAAGATGTCACAAAGGATACAGAGGAAGAGATGCAGAGGGTGGGGTATGGGGGAAGGGCACGGAGCTTCCATGCCTCCCAGGGATGCCACCCTCCAGGACCCAGAAGCTCCCTGAACCCTGC